CCAGAGTGTTAAACTACAACTACAAATGCCATGGATATCATATATTTCTTGGTCATCCAGGGAATGGTTTATATGCGCTATTCTGAAACCCGTAAATGGGATAATGTCTTGGAAGTGGCATATTGGGCAGAATGCTTTGAATTACCAAATAAAGGGCTAAAAACAATCAATTTTTTAAAAGTCCTCTTTGTTTCTAGCAAGCAACTGAGTCTGATGTTCTAACACTCCCTCTTTATACTACAGCAGGGGTGTGGGTTGAAATCAATGTCTTGTTTCATCAAGTTTTGCCTGACTGAGAGTTTAGAGAAGGACAAATGCCTGCCTACTTTAATTGACAAGGGAGGGGCTGTGGCTCAGTGAAAGAGCCTCTGCTTGGCGTGCAGAAGTTCCCCTGTTCAATCCCTGGCATCTCAAGTTCAACGGGTAAAGTAGTAGGTGGTGTGAAAAAGACCTCTGCTTGAGAGCCTCTGCCAGTATGAATAGACAAGACTGACCACGATGGATCAGTATAAGGCAGCTTCAGGTATTCCCACAAAGGGCAATTTGTGAGAGTAATTCCTACTATAAACACTGTAGAGATCCTTGAATTATTTCCCATTAATCAGGGGTGGTTTTTTTATTGCCGTTTCCATCCTGAGTTTGTTAATTTGTTGAGTTTTGGATTTTCAGATACAGGGGGTGTCACTCACTCCCTGTTTCCTGTAGCCAGAAGAGTTTTGTAGGTCTCTGGATGTGTAACCTGACTGGAAAGTCTTTTCTTCAGATCTTAGCTCTGTCTTCAGTAGTCTTTAGCCAACTTGTATTCTTTGGGTTTCAGCCATCCACCAAGCTGATTTATGCAAAGGACTCTGAGCATTTAGGAAAAGTGCTGTGTGAATGGGTGATTATTTTATGTAAAAGTCTGAAGATGATCCTTTAAATTAAACCAGGATGAGAAACTAGGAAAAAACAGCTGAAGTTTCTCCAAGTAACACTGAACCCACCGACAGATTTCTGGTCATGCTTCGCATGTCTTTTTTGTTGTTGTCATTTTAAGGTTTATGTTATCTTCTATAAGCAAATATATCAGTTTCCATCAGTGCAATCTTAAGAAGATTTATATCTTTCTAAACCCACTGATGTCAACTGACTTAGAAGATACAACTCTTCTTAGGATTACACTGCATATGTTGTCTAGATAAGGGGGGGGGAGAGAAAGAGAAGAAAAACTGAAATGAGCGAAACATTCTACAGTGTGCATTTTGATGCTGCTCCTTTTTAATTGAAGCATCAATAAATAATGTGAAATAAAGATGTATCTTTGTTATGTGTTATTCTGTCATGCTTCTTGTAGTTCAGTGTTACTTATTCCAGTTGTTGGGTTTAATCTGTAGCTATTGTTCTGTTGAAGTTATTAATCCCACACATCTGTTGCTGGTAGTCTGGACAGGCATGGATCACTAGTTTAAAAACTGGGTTGTAGAATTTTAGCCCTTTCCAATTTGAATATCTATGCAATTAACTCATTCCACAGATAAATCCCACAGATGTTCTCTGTCATGCTAATGGGTCCATTACATAAGGATGGAGTCAAAGTAAAAGAGCAGGGAAACCAGAGCTGAATTAACATAAAACGAAGGTGTATAACACTAAGCTCAAATGTGGACCCATATCTTTTGTGTCACTGGACCTGGTAACAGCTGCATCTTGGAAAAAGTTGGAGGATATTTCCGTTGGTGCAGAATGCTGAACCTCAAATGGTACCAGGAGCTAGGTGGAGCACGCACGTTACTCCCATTCTGCAGTCACTCCATTGGCTGCTCAACAGTTACTGAACTCAGATCAAGGTATCAGCTGTCGTAGTTCTTCATGGCCTTGGAGCCTCATATCTTGCAAGACCACTTTTTAACCTGTGTCCTGCCACGACAGCTTCACTCATCTGAGCAGGGCTTTCTGCACATGCCACCCTACAGGTGGGCATGGTCAACAACTGCCTGTACACAGGCCTTCCCTGTAATGGCCCCTGCCTTGTGGAATGGCCCGCCTGAGGAGGTCAGGAAGGTTCCCACGCTCCTGACATTTTGCAACCTATGTAAAACGGAATTATTCAGGGCATTTTTGTAATAAAACCAGAGGTACACTGTAAGAGGTTGGTTCAGTAAAATGTACTATATGCCTACTGATGTAATTATGTTTCTGCATTCTTTAACATATCATGTACATTGTTCACCTATGCTTTGTTCAGATGACAGCTCCATTTCAAAATTTCTGCAAGTCCTAGTGCTATTACATTGCTTATTAGATGTATAATCCTATTGATTGCATTGATTTTACATTGCATAATCTGCTTTGAGTCTCAGTGAGAAAGGCGGTCTATAAATAACATAAATAAAAGGCTAGTGTTTGATCTCCTGCCCACCAGAGGTTCCCAGTTCCTCTTCTAGCCTGAAAGTTATCAGGTTGAGAGGGGAATGAATAAGAATGGTAATTAATGAACATGAACACAGTTACTGTTATAGCAGGACAAATGCAGTGAATTTAATAGAATAGTGTAAAAAGATTTCATCAAATGTAGCTGGTGAGTCTTCTAGAGATTTCCTTCCGTGGCCGGACATATAGATAAGTTCTGGAGGTATCTTCTAAAATGACAAATGAACCCAAATTCTTCTGTCTTAGCACCATTGGACAGCACTCTATCTCATCCTCCCCCAGCAACAGCAACTGACCAGTCATGGCTGGAAGAAAGATTTCATCACCTTTTTATCTTTTGAGTAGGTTTGCAATGATGAAATATAGGAATTAGTCTCGGTCATTGTTATTTTTTTTTAGCTAAATATAGACATTCTGCTACACCATCTTTTTCCTAGACGGCATTTCATGATTTCATTAGTTAGTAGCAAAACCTAGTAAAAGCTATCCTAACAAAAATGGGTATTTTTCTGAAATGGCTTTTTCATTTAAAAATATGGATGCATGGTACAGGCCTTTCTAAACAGTCTGAGAATGACTGCTAGCAAACAAGGAGAACCAAGAAGATGCAGCATATTTTGTGCAAAGCATAAGTAGACCAATTGCTAAATGTATATCTGTATACTAATTCCCAACTGTCCCTTCTGTGTGCAGATACTTATTTCCACAGATGGGGGGCTCACTCTCCCCCTACAGGTTTTTCTACAGACTTGGGGGAGGACTGTGGAGCTGCAGAAAAATCCAAGAAGTTAAAAAAAAAAAAACCTCTGGAAGATTGAAATGGCTGCAGGAATCTACTCCAGGCCTTGTCCTCATCAACAGTGAGAGACTAAAACATTCAGGAGAGAGCGAAGGCTTATAACTGGTTCTGTCAGTAAAAGGAAGAGGGCAGGGCCCTTTCCAGGCCTATTTTGGCCTTTCAGGGAGGGAGACTTGGGGCCTGGCCTGACAAGGGTTGCCAGTGCCAGGCTAGGAAATTACTAGAGATTTTGTGGTGGAGTTTAAGGAGGGCTGGGTTTGGGGAAGGGAGAAGCCTCAGCTGGATATAATGCCACAGAGTCCACCCTCCAAAGCAGCCATTTTCTCCAAGGAGAAAGATCTCTGCCGTCTAGAGTTCAGTTGTAATTCTGGGGAATCTCCAGTTGGCAGTTGGCAACCCTAGGCTTGGCAGCAACCTCTGGTGACTTGATGCCATCTCATTTGCATGACTCAAATAGGCCCAGCTGCCTGCTACTGTTCATCAGCAGCCACCCTATGAAAGCCAGTGTGATGTAACAGTTAGAGCATCAGATTAGGGTCTGCGAGACCCAGGTTCAGATCCCCATCTTGTGGTGATTTGGGACCAGTCACATACTTTCAGCCTAACCAAACTCATAGGGTTGTGCAGATAAAAAGGAAGAGAGAATAATGTAAGCTGCTTTGCTCCCCACTGTGGAGAAAGACTGTAATTTTCCTAGGTAGAGGCTGTGGGGGAGGGGGGTGGAGAGGGAAAGCTGAAGACAGGCAGATAAAGGTAGGTTGGCTGTTGGGTGGGAAGGAAATAGGGTTGCCAACTCCAGGTTGGGAAATTCCTGGACATTTGAGGGGCGGAGACTGGGGAGGGTGGGATTTGAGGAGGGGAGGAACTTCAGACCAGTATAATGCCATAGACTCCACCCTCCAAACCAGCCATTTCCTCCACGAGAACTACCATTGCCAGCCTCCAGGTGAGGGCTGGCGATCACCCAGAATTACAACTGTTGTCCAGGTGACAGAGATCAACCTTGGATAAAATGGCTACTTTGGAGGGTTGATAGAACTGTGGGGGACTTCCTGACCTCCTCAGGCAAACTGTTCTACAAGGTGGAGGCCGCAACAGAGAATGTGTATGAATGGGCAGTTATTGGGCTTCCTCATTTGCAGGGCGGCACTTTCGGAAGGTTTTGCTCAGATGAGTGAAGCAGTTGTGGAGGACCATAGTAGCAGAGATGGTCCTCCAGCTGTGTGGGTCCAAGACTGTTAAGGGTTTTGTAGGTAAACCTTGAATTAAGCCAGTAACTGATCAGTAATCAATGGAGTGACTACAGAATAGCTGTGATATGCAGCATTCAACAGTAATTGGGCTGCAGGGTTCTATACCAACTGGAGTTTCCAAGTTGACTTTAAGGGCAGACTCATGTAGAGTGCATTACAACAGTCTAGCCTTGAGGTAACCGTAGTATGGATCCATGTGATCAGATCAGCCCACTCAAGGAACATAAACACCTTCCAGTCAGGTAGAAGAAAGCATTTTCGCAGCTGCAACAACTTCTCCAGAAATAAGGCTGGGTCCAATAAAACCCTCGCCTTCTCTTAACTGAGTCAGTGACTGTCAATGGACCCATCAAATGTGGGAAGGCCAATGCCTTTCAAGACCTTGGCTTTCTCAGCCAACACTACCTCCATCATGTCAGGATTCGGATTAAATTTGTTCACCCATAGCCATTTAACCACAGCAGTAAGGCACTGGTATAGAATTCACCATTATTGTAGACCTTCTTAAGAACAATGAAAACACTATACCATGATGCTAATCAAGCTGATAGGTTTATTATTGACATGATTAATTTGTCCAGAGTAGCACTAACAGCAGACTTTCTACAAAGGTCCATCAACTTCAAGGCCTGTTTCGAAATGTATGAAGGGAGCTGAATTTTAGTCCACTGATCACTGGAAGAAAGTTCTAAATAGCCATGCAATTTAGCAAACACCTTGAGAATCTTTATTCTGCTTGCAAACAGCACGAGGTCATCTTCAGACACATCCTTTGGCCATGGATGGTGATTAGTGGATGGCTTTAAGGAAAGAAAAGACAGGGAGTTAACAAAGCGGCTAAAGCCACGTAGTACTTATGTCCAACAGAAATTCAGTAGACACTACACATTGTCTCAATGCCATTGGGGGGGGGGATGCTGGGGGTGTCAGGAAATTACAGGACCTTTAGCCTGTCTCCCAAGTAAACTGGTAAAAAGCATTGCTAAAGATAGAATGATAACCATAGAGAGGATGCCTTCCTGACAAGACTCAGCATGGATCCTAGAAAGAAAAGTCTTACCTTACAAACTCTTTAGAGTTTATTTTTGAAGTGCTGACAAACTTATGGGAAGGCTGATCTCTGTCTTCCAAAAAAACTATTGAAAAAGTCCCTCATAAAAGAATCCTGAATAAACGTAACAGTCATGGGCTACAAGAGTGGCGTATTCTCATAGACAGGTAACTGGTTTAAGTCAAGTTAGCAGGATGAGGTAGGCGTATTGTTCTTAGAATGAAGGGAAGGGAGCAGTTGGAGATCACACCAGAAGTCAGGATTCAGCAATGAAATTGTTTGCACATGACTCATTATTCAAGATGGTGAAAACTCCAACTGATTGCAAGGAACTCCAGAAAGGATCTCTTTTATGCAGCAGTGGTAAAAAAAGAAAGAAAACTCACTGTTAGGGATTCCAAGGAAGGGGATTGCCAATAAAATTGGCAGCATCTCAAATGTCTCCCCCCCCACCCAATAAATGGTATTGGAGCACTCTAATATTTCAACAATTGTTACAGCTCAAAAAAGTTAGCATAGAGCTGGTGTCACATCTCAAAAAAGTTAGCATAGAGCTGGTGTTGCAGAAAAAGAGCAACCAAAATTGCCCAGGGGGTTAAAGTATCTTTACTATATGGAAAGTTTTTCTCCTTCCATGTTTTTAGAACTCAGAGGCACTCAATTAAATTGATAAGCAATAGATTCTAAACAGACAAAAGACACTGCAGCAATGTGCACTGAGGGCCACTGGAGTAAGTGACTATTAGAGTGGATTAAACAAGCTCATGGGGGATAGTTCTATTGAATCCTTATTAGCCTTGATGACTAAGTGGAACCTTCATGTTCAAAGGCAGCATGCCATTCATGCCAGTTACTGGTGGACTTTGTCCCCTGTTGATCACTGTAGGAAACAAGATGCTGATCTAGATGGATCTTTGGTCAAAGCCAGCAGGCTCTGTTTATTCAACACCAGGGAGGATATCATTTTAAATCCAAGGTAAATTAAATGGTCCGTTTAATTCACCAAGAAAAATAATGGAATTAATTTATTAAAATATAGTTTTTCATTTGGCATTTCAGATAGTTCCCAAACAAAAGTACATCGTAACTGAGTAATATAGTTGTTATGAAGAAGAAGAGAAGAAGAAGAAGAGATTGGATTTATACCCCGCCCTTCACTCAGAGTCTCAGAGCGGCTTACAAACTCCTTTCTCTTCCCCTCCCCACAACAGACATCCTGTGAGGTGGGTGGGGCTGAGAGAACTCTGACACAAACTGCTCTTTTTCAAGGACAGCTGTGCCAGAGCTTGTGACTGACCCAAGGTCACATCAGCAGGTGCAAGTGGAGGAGTGGGGAATCAAACCCGGTTCTCCCAGATTAGAGTCCACACACTTAACCACTACACCAAACTGTGGTATGCATGTTGATTGCCAGGTAAACATAACCCCTTTACTGACAAAGGTGACCAAAAGCTTTTGCTCATGCAGACCTATCTCCTTTTTGTATCATTATAACATTTGGGGGAAAGAGCTTGTATATCCTGACTTCCCACCTGTGGATCCAGTTTTGAGATATTAGAAGTGATCACCATATGTACTGAATTTAGATTGCATCTGAAACCAGATTATTTTAAAGGGGGGGGACTTAATCAGTCCCAATTTAAATAATGTGGATGCCTTTAAAAGTCTGTTTTATTCACACTGGTTAGAACTATGAAGCAGCAAGAGTCAAACCAAACCATACGAATCCTTGAGAGAGATCCCTTTTGGGGTGTGTACACTCACTGCCCTTAGTGGAATCTTGAAAGGTTGTAGGAATCCATAAAACATCTATTGAGATGACGATCTTTTATTCTTTTGTTATACTTCCTGTATTCTTGTCCATTTAAAAAGTCACAATTCCTGCTTTTACTTCCAAATGTGTCTATATGACTCACAAAACTCAATAGAGTCGGGTGGGGGGAATCTATGATATGGAGAATCTTGTCAAGATTCTGCAATTTCCAGCCACAGAGCTGATGGTACTGTGGGATGGGGAGAGGAAATTCAAGCATAATTCACCAGCACCCACAGAAACTAGATTTATGCTAGACCATCTGATTAGAGTCTATTATTGAGGGATGGCACAGATGCAGCTTTTTAATGCTATTGCTGAATTGCTTTACAGGTAGGATTTTAAAACCCAAGTCGACTTTCCTGTCATTTAGTAGCATGGTCTGCCATCAGACTCTAACGCCGCATCTTCTTTTGATATATGCACATCTCATAGAACTGCATAACTGAACCATGCAGTGCTATTGTATGTTGAGCTACCACAGTCTAACCCATTGGTTTCAGTACATGGTTGACTAGTCAACATGATTGATTATTCCAGTCAACTCTGCATGTATACACTGTTGTAATGCTTTGTGAATATATAAAGATCCAAATGTTTTGGATTGTATAAATTGCCCTGTACAAACCATATCAATTTTGTTCCAGTCTTCAGCAGATGTAACTTCATTTTTAATACCTCTAATAGTTTGAATCAATTTGTTTTCTTTGCAAAACAATCCCACTTTTCCCCTACTCAACTGCAGATTACAAGAGCATGTGAATTTATTCCTCCCCTGGTTTCTTTAAAATGAAGTACCTCCACTTTGGTTCCCACGTTGATTTTTGCTTGTTTCCCCATTGCCAGGAAAGAAATAGCAACTTTGTCCTGCCCAAGAATCCTGACACCGACATTCTGGTTCAAGGACACAAATACGGGTTTAAACGATACAGTGGGAGTGTACTTCTGCAAGTGGTTTGGCCAGATCCATGTTCTCACTTTGTTGCCATCTTGGTCTGAATAATGTCCTCCTCGAACTGTAATATTTATCCTATAGGAGTAAAATAATAACTTGAAATGAGGTCAATGAAGAAGAAAAAAGAGACATCCATATGTACTATATATTTATCCTGCTCTTCTTAAGAAATGTTCACTTGATTCTTCCTTCCTCTTCTGTTTGCGCTCCATGTACACCCTTAGACCTTTAGTTGTATCTAGCCAATTTTGTAAATTGCCAGATCTCCTCCTTACTACAGCTCTCTTCCTCAATGGTTCTTGTCCACGCAGGTCTAATGACTCCTAGCATAGCCAAGGGGACTCTCTTTCCTGCCCTTTCTTCACCAGCTGAAAAACTGGCTGGATTCAGCCTCTGGTCTGCAAACCTAAAACCAGGGATGAAAGTAGCTAACATCTTTTTACCAGGACTGTTTCTCTTGGGGGGACTCAGAAGATGGGAGGTACCATTTGGGCTGCTTTTTAAAAACTGGTATGCCGTACTGGCCCACGTTGGCTTACTTTCACCCCTGACAAGGATTGAGTCTGTGCTTGCTCCTCTAGCAGGGTCTCCACATGCCTCAAGACTTCTCATGACACAATCCGAACCAGCTCGTAGGAACTCCCTCTCCATAGCCAAGTAAGATGTCTATGCTTTTTGTGCCTCCAGGCTTAGTAAACAAGTGGGATCATTTCTCCCACCACAATGTTGCAGTGACCCACTGGACATCTTCTGGCCAGTTTGCCCTTTCTAAAGATGGGTCGTAGCAACCTCGCTGCCCTTGTCTCACCACTTCTTCCTGACTGGTGCTCATCTGTGGCCCAGCAGCTTGCTCAGCCTCTGGTCTGAACCCCTTGCTGCCTTCTGCTCTCCATTCCCCCTGTGTGCCAGATTACATTTCCAGTTTCCTCCCACTTCAGTTCTGTTTAAAACTGGCTGAGCCACTATTGCTAGATGTAAGAAGACAAAGAGGTTTATTGCCAGTATTTGTGTTTCTTCCAAGGGATGAAGCACCTGAGGCAAATATGCTGAAACAGAAAACATGTCCACTTTTGAAGTCCTATATTCTTTGGGCCAACTGCTGTTACCGTTTGTAAAGTTTCACACACGCTTAAGTGTCAGGCAAGGCAGCAGCTCTATCCACCCAAAAGGGAGTTCTAGATCACAATGGATGTACTGATAAAACAATAAAACCTACCAACTCTTTGTTTTAAATACAAAGGACAAATACACATAATCCACACTAAATCGAGAGAGAGAGAGAGAGAGAGAGAGAGGGAGAGAGAGAGAGAGAGAGAGAGGGAGAGAGAGAGAGAGAGAGAGAGAGAGGGAGAGAGGGAGAGAGAGAGGGAGAGAGAGAGGGAGAGAGAGAGAGAGAGAGAGAGAGAGAGAGAGAGAGAGAGAGAGAGAGAGACACATACCATATAATTCCATTGGGATGATAGCAAGTCCCTTGCCCAGAAGATTCAAATACCGCTTGGATGCCTGCATTCTCAGACCTGTCATCTTGCACAATACAAATATAACCGCTACTCTCCTTCTTTTGCACAACAATAACTGCCAGATTCCCAGAGGGATAGCTGCACGTGGATAAGGCCAGTTGCTTGTTTAGGAATGTTGCTGCATTACCAGGTATGTGGGGCGTCTTCAGTTCATTAGTTCTTGAGCATTTTTAATTGGATGCCACCCAGGAAACAGTGCCTAGAATTCCTGAAAGCCAGTCATAAGTGATATGTGGCTATTTCTCTAAGCAAGATGCTCTCCGTTCCAGTCCCCATGTTCCATTTTGCAGAAACAGGTTTGCATTCAGACTGATGTTTTTGCAGATGCCCATTAAGAGTGATTTCCTGCCTTCAACAGCAGTCTAAAATGTCTTCCCAATCCTGTTCCCGGTAGTCTCCTCTCCCCCAAGAGTGGCATTTCGGGTGGCATTTCAGGCTTCCATGGGAGGAGGGAAACAGGAAAAGCAAGCTCCATGGGTGTCAGTCCTTGCACACGTGGGGACACTAGTCTGGATCCAACCCACAATATGTTCACTTGCCCACATACACATGAAAACTGGAGCTAGGGTAGGTCAAGAGACAAGGGGATGGATCCAAACTAAATCTGAACTTGCTACCAATTCCCTCCGCCTGCTCTTTCCCCCATTCTATATAATTCCTTAAGATCCCCTATCCCCCAGGAGCAGAATTACGTAAAGATCAATCAGCTGTGGTGGGGAGGGAGGCAGGGAAATCCCATTTCACCATTAGAACACTTTGTCTGGATCCAAGCTAAGGGCTGGTCTAAGGTCACCCAGTGTTCTTCTTCACAGCTGATTGAGGATTTCACCATGGGGACTCCCCTGTCCTGGTTCTGCACCTTGCCCACTGCTCCACATTGGTGCTTCCTGATTGCTCTGATATAACCTTGTGTGTAAATGTCATTTTTTCATCCTTCAGTTCTCCCAAGGAGCCTAAGGTCACCAACGGTGCTTTCCTTAGCAGCGTTCCACCTTCAGAGCTAACTGAATTCAACAGACTTCGAAAGGTGTGACTCTGTTTAGGGACTGCAAGTGAGCTAAATGGGTGGATACACAACTGAATTCAGTTCACCCCAATTCATGTACAATGCTTTACCCACTACAATTATTTATGGCTGAGGGCACAAGGCAGCCAATGTTCAGCAGTTTCAAGTCTCACTGTTTTCAATAGGTGAGTTTTAAACTCACACTTAACCCTTTCATTGAAATCAATGGGACTTTAAATGCATTTCACTCAGATATTGTCAAAATACGTTTCAGATGCTGCCACTAGCGACATGAGATAAGTCACAAAAGGATACAATATTTGTGCGGTCCCATCCGGAAACATAGTAAGAAACTTTACACCACTTTTGTAGTATTGTTGCAAGAACTGGTTCTTCAATAACTGCAGGAGGAAAGGAAAGAAGATACATGGGGAAACTTTTTTTTATCTGCAGGAGTATCAGCTTTCAAAAGGCAAGAAGGCTGCTAGAAGGAGGGTGGTGGCGACCAGCATCACAGAAAGTTGCACTTTGTCACACCCCTTGGCACTGATTAATTTAATGAATGAGCTGACATTCCAGGTTCTGGCACTCCCAGATTCTGTGGGATACAAGTGGGTTTTCCCCATGGATAAGTAGGATTCGAAGATCCATTTCAGGTAAAGTCCCTCTCAACCTGAAGCTGTAACTACAAGTGGGAATTAAGGAGAACCCACAACTCATGGCTGACTCAACTTGTGTACTTCATAATGTGTGAATCACATGGGTTTCTAGCCACGCTTGCAGCCCTCTCCTCATCTCCCACAATCCCATCCACTGATATCATGATTCTCCTGGACAAAATTCCATCCCAACTTTTTATAAGCACATTGTTTTTGTGCTGCTGTTATTCTAGCGCACACATCATTACGTAGGCAAAATATTGCTAGTTGCTTCCTTCCAACAGATGACGGGCATGCCAAAGCCAACAATTGGCCATCTAAAGGGTAAAGAATCAAGACCTATACAGTTTCTAGATATTAAAAGTATATTTTAATTTTATTATTTATTTGTATCTTGCTTTTCTTCCTGATCAGGGACCAAAGTGGCTGATATGTACTTTTTTCCTTTGCACTCAAGATCTCTTTCAGTTTTTTCTTTCTTTCACATTTAGGTCTGGCAATATTGTCCTTCATCCTAAACATACATTAAGTTACTCTTTGTACAACAATTTAGGCTATTCCAGAAGGTTTCTCTGAATTAAAGGAATGGCTTGGAGCACTGATTTTGTAGATGGGCAAATGCAGATATTGTCCACTGGGGCTTTGGACCTTGGCCATTGCCTTCTTACACATACATTTAGCATCTCTGCCTCAGTTGATTACAGTACAGACCAGGCATGAGTTACATGTTTGTAGGATTGGGACTTTGCATCAGAATAAGGCTCTTTGGAGTAGTTACTCTTTACTTTAAGTGCATACAGTAGTCTATTACAGATATACTTGACATAGAAAAGGAGTTAGCTTTTTCTTTACCTAGAACATGTTCCATTTTTATAGCCAAGAAGGTACCTTCTTCTTGATAGGTTTATATGAGTGTATATATTTAGCAGCATGAATAGCCCAGACTAGTCAGAGCCTGTGACAGCTCGGTAAGTGAAGCAGAGTCAACCATGGTTAGCATTTGGATGGGAGACCACCAAGGAAGACTAGTGTTGCTAGGCAGAGGAAGGCAATGACAAACCACCTTTGCTCATCTCTTGCCTTGAAAACCCCATAAAGTGTTTTCATAAGAACATAAGAAGAGCCCTGCTGGATCAGACCAGTGGTCCAACTAGTCCAGCATCCTGTCTCACACAGTGGCCAACCATAAATTGGTTGCAACTTGATGTCATTTTTTTATGATGATGATGATTAGGCCAGATGAAATTTAGCTTGTGCTCCATTTTGCGCCATCTGCTGCACAAATGTTTGTTTATGAAACTTATACTGTGCTTCTCTAGAGGCCCACTAGAGATGGCGTACAACTAAAACAATACAACTGTTTCTTTCACAAGCTTGAATTAGGCATGCAGTCCTTGAAATGATTACAGGTACATTATATACGACATTTAAAACATTAGTGAACAATGACCTAATATTCAGCATCCCATTCCATGCTGGGAGGGTTTTCATCTATTCAGAAAGAAAGGACATGGTTTTAGAATGACCTAAAAAGGTAGGAAGGCCTCTCATCCCATTTCAAGCACTGGCTTTATATGCACAAGGACTTGGTTCTACGGGAATATTAGAACACACAGCGCTTCCACCTGCAGCCTGAAGTGGAAGCATCCAGGAAATTTTCTACTTTTTGGTCCTATTGACTGTATATCATTGGGAAACCAGGTACAAGAATTTATTTATTCATATTGTTTATTTATTTGTTAAATTTGTATCCTGCCCTCCCCACCGTGGCAGGCTCAGGGCGGCTTACAGATGTTAAAACACCGAAATATGTTAAAACACAAAATACAATTAAAATCACAGCATAAGATCATCAGTGTTAAGAACATAGATATTAATACAAGATGGCGGCGTTCTCTCAACATTGGAAGGTCGCCTACCACCATAGTCCAGGTTCCTGCCAGGCTGCTGGTCGTTGAGTTAGTGCTGGTGTTAGGGCCAGGGCCATAGTATTAAAAGGCCACACCCTAATTGAAGGCCTGGTGGAAGAGCTCTGTTTTACAGGCCCTGTGGAACTGTAAAAGGTCCCGCAGGGCCCTGTTGTCATCCAGAGCTCATTCCACCAGTAAGGGGCCGCCACAGAAAAGACCCTGTCCCTCGTCATGGCCAACCTGGCTTCTTTAGGGCCTGGGAGGGCCAGGCGATTTTGGGATCCCGATCTTAGTGCTCTCTGGGGAACATATGGGGGAAAGTGATCCCTTAGGTAAGTAGGTCCCTGACCATATAGGGCTTTAAAGGTAAGAACCGGCACCTTGAACCAAATCTGGTATGCTATAGGCAGCCAGTGCAGTGCTTTTAGGGTGGGCTGGATGTGTTCCCACACAGGAAGACATAACAACAGCCTTGCTGCTGCATTCTGCACCAGCTGCAGCTGCAGCTTTCAGATTTGGGACAAGGGCAGCCCCATGTAGAGAGCATACAGTAGTCCAGTCTCGAGGTGACCATTGTGTGGATCACTGTTGCCAGATCATTGCATTCAAGGAAGGGAACCAACTGCCTAATCAGCTGTAGATGGTAAAAGGCAGACTTCGCAGTGGCTGCTACCTGGGCCTCCATCGTTAAGGAGGCATGCAGGAGCACTCCCAAACCTCCAGTGCTGGCACCAGCGGCACCCCATCGAAGTTCAATAGAGGGATCCCTAACCTTGGCACGCACCAACTCAGGCACAAGGACCTCCGTCTTCGTCGGATTCAATTTCAGTCAACTCAGTCTAAGCCAACCAGCCACAGCTTTCAATTCCTTCTGAACTCTAGCAATTCAAACTGCAAGGGGGTGCGTGTCACATTTTTGAGTATTCTGTCATGCTACACCCCTCTTACAGGCCAGGGTCCGACATACCTGAGTATGCCTTTCCCCATACATACCCCAGAGAGCACTACGGTCGGTGTCATAACACCGTTTAATGACCCCAGGCCCTAGAGATGCCAAGCTTGCTGCTACCAGGGCCAGGGCCTTTTTGGTGGCGGCTCCTACCTGGTGGAATGAGCTCCCGGAGGAGATCAGGGCCCTGCGGGACTTAGTACAGTTCCGCAGGGCCTGCAAGACGGAGCTCTTCCGCCAGGCTTTCAATTAGGAGCCACCCACCACCACTACCATTACCATCTACCACTACTGTCATCAACTGCATGGTGGTGGGTCGGCCCTTTAAGAGATCGTGGGAGGCCAAAGTATCGCTAAAGCGGGGCCCTAGTATTACATCTGTTTACACACCACCTCAAACTGAATGAACAATGATGATCACTATGAGCACTTCATAGTATTAATTGCATTTAAGTGTAGGACTTTTATCTTGTTTTTAATTGTTTTATCTTTGCACATGGTGCCGTTAATTGTGAGCCGCCCTGAGCCTGTCCACGGGGAGGGCGGGATATAAATCCAATAAAATAAATAAATAAATAAATAAATAAAATTACACATACATAAAACTTACCCTTCTGGGATAAAAGCTAGGTTAGCACTGTTTGCATTGACAGACTAACCTTTCATATGCCATGAATATTCTTTATAAGGAGGTAGCATTCAAACATGCTGAAGTAGTGCAGCTTAGAGGGGCTGTACCAACTGACTGTCCAGAGTGTGATCTGATGCATAACTCTTATGCAGACATGGAGGCCTCTGAGTCTTCTCTGGTTCCACATTTTCACAGGTGATGTGTAAGGCCAAGACTATAGACAGGGATGTCAACCTGGAAGCAGGGCTTACCTTTCCGCCTGCAATGGTGAAATCACAGCAAGAGATGCTGTAGGTGATCTCTTCACTTATCCTTTGTTCATCTGGCATTAAAGGAATCTTAGTCCAGCCCGCGGAAGATGGAGGCTCTTGAGACAGAACGTATGAAATAGTTCTGAGTTGTTTATTATCTAAAGAATATAAAGCGGCAAAGAATGTATATTGTATACATATTGTATTGCACACAAAAATTCAATGTTGCATACAACTTCTTGTCTAAACATGTACTAATAATTCAATATAATAATTAACCCAATGTCTAATTAAAATCCGTGATTTCTTAAAGAAGATTTCAGAAGTTTCTATTTTGGATTTTTAAAAAATTACATCCCGCTTTTAGATAAGATAAAATCTAGTGCTGTGGTTCATATTTGCCAATTTCTTCTGTGCAACTTTAAATAATCAGGACATGTTTAAAATTTTATTGGGATGATCAAATAGGGTATGTCTGTGAAAGTAGATTCTCCTCCTGGGACTGATAATTTCACATGAGTTAATCATTGTTTGTTTGGTAAGAAACTATATTGCCCATTTTAGAGTGGTTTTCAGCAATAGCCACTGAGGTGATCTACAAGGGATTTTTCTTGTGCAGAGACCACTTGAAAATAGCCTCTGCATGGTGACACAGAATTGGATCCAGAGGTGCCTTTCCATTAACAGAAATCTATGCAAGGAGAGATCTGCCACTTTTTGCAAATTTTCCACTTCAGCTGCCATACTGTAGCCCAGCTATTTCCTGACCCTCTGAAGCACCACTTTGGGTGGCACATGGAGATGCAGGACGATCCACTCTGCCAGCAAAGCTCTGCTTGCAGTTCTTCGGATCCAACCTTTGCAAGCACACTGTCCCACCACTGTTGCATTGGGCACCAGTCTTGGTTTCTTAGATCTTCACCAAACAACAGCCATGCCAGAGAGTGAAAACCAGGGCTACATGCTACACTGGGCCAGGATAAAATCATTAAAACATGCACATACAGTACATTACATACACTATTTTCAAATGGTATCTAAATTATGAAACTTCTAGTTCTTTGTCATTAGCCACATTCAGGCATCCCCACAAATGTCATTCAACAAAACCTGGTTACTTCTGGGTTGTGTATACATTCTGCTTTGCTTCCTCATCCACACATCAGTATGAAGGACATCTGCCCTACACTGACATCTCCATGGTTAGGTGCCACAAGGGGAACTCCTACTCAACAAAACTGTAGTACGGGAAACTCAGATGTCACAACAAACCACAATTAGCAGAAACTGTGGTTAACAAATACTAGTATAAAATCCCAGCCTTCCACAATTTGTAAGACCATCTGCACTCAGATGTCTCAACTAACTGGGATTGAAATGATGGTGTATGGCGATATAAGCACTGACATCTGAGATAAAAGTTTACTGCAATAACAAACACGTTAGGCATTATTCTTAGATTCACGCATTCGCAGGGCTGTAGCCAGCGGTGGGCCGCTGGGGGTGGTGCCCCCTATCGCATTTGCAATGCCCCCCACCCCGATCTTTCCTTTCTTCTTTAAATTCCAATATCTTGCCAAACCAGTTTGGGCCGCCACCATGCCAAGCCCGAAGTGCGATTTCCTCCCTTCTGTTGGCCAGGAGGCAAGGGAGCCTAGGGTGCACTCTGCCACTGTGCTGCACTGTCTTTCTCCCTCCTTTTCCCCCTTGTGGGGCTTGGTGGGTGTGGAGAAACGCCATTTTATGCCTATGTTTAAGTTGGTGTGGGCCAGATAGGAGGAGACCATGAAACCTGAGGTAGGCCTTGGCCTAGTCTCCTCCTCATTCCCCCCCCTCCTGTCTCCAACCAGCAGTCAGAGGGCAGCTCCCTAGAGAGGACAGGAAGTCCATCAAGGCTGTGAGGAGATCTGCCCCAGAATGCTGCAGGAGGGAGAGGAACTTCCTGGGCGGGAAGGGCTGTTTTATATAGTGGAGCTTTTGGGTGGGAAACCAGTCTGTGAGAATTGAGAGCAGTCTGCCTGAAGTCTGGAGCCAGTCAGGGAGGCAGAGGCCATGTTGAGAGTCCTCCACTGAAAGCAAGTCATGTGCCTGCCCTGCAGACCATCTAGACAGGGTATGTGTAGTGAAGGGAGAGATGGAGCGATTTATTATCCACCTTTATTTTAATTCTTCAGTTCACTGTTAATATGCCTGTATATAGTTGAGTGATTTTAAAATAAATCATTTTACTGTTGACCCTGAGAAGTCCCTCTGTACCACATAGTTCCCCCAGCCGCTTGGACACGCTAAGAGTGGGTTGGGGACTCCCTAAGGAGAATAAGGGCAAAATGGTCAGTTGCCAACTCTCCAGGGGAGCCCCAAAGATTACCGGGAAGCCCAGAGGTGGGTTCCTAACAACAGCAGAGGGAGGTTAGGAGGCTGTCCCGCCTAACCAGAGCCCAAGACAGGGACAGTGGTGGCAGCAATACCCGGAGGCAGTGGTGAAAAACTGCCCCTTCAGGTGCCAGGTCAGGCAAAGGAGGGGTGGGCAGAGCGGGGTCTGCCAGTGGACGCGGGCCCGTTCCGCCACAGTGGGGTTGGACGAAATCGCCACCTGCTACCCTGCCTGCCTTGGATGACATGCAGGGACGGAGGTGGACTGGAGGAGGCAGGTGGGCAGAACAGAATGGCCCACCCTGGCCTGGTGCCTCACTGCGCCTGCACCAGGGGAGGAGCTCACTGCTGGGCGTCATTAGTGCCCCCCATGAAAAAATTCCTGGCTACGGGCCTGCCACTGAGGCTTTGACTCCTGTGACAGTTGCCCCAGCAATGAGAAAAGGACTTCATAGACAAAGCACCTGTTATCATGGGGGTTTGGAAGGACCACTGCTCGTTGCTCCCTGTGGCTGATCCTGCTAGTACGTTTGGACCAGCTGATAAGAGTGTAGGGATCCATTTGGTTTATGTCAGACTTGAGCTATGGATCATACTGATTGGTCACTTTGTTGATCACCTCCAAAAGCTCAACGATCTCTGGAGGAAGCCAATGTCTGAGAGCACCCCTACTTTCCAGCAGCTGCCAATGCTGGGCCGTTTTTGTTTAAATTCAGGGGGAAAGAGAGCAAGGGATAAAAATGCAGTTTGCAGGTTAGAACTACAAGGCGGCTGATGAACTGAACCCTGCCCTCTGTCCCCAAAAACTGTGAACACACCCACATTATTTCACGCACACTACTCTCCCCAGATATATTTGGCCACCACAATATGATAGTTAGTTACACAGTAAGCCTAAACTTATGTGGCCCATGTTGCCTCTGTGTATATTTAAACAAAGGCACCTTTCAAGACATACTTGTGTGTGTGTTTATTTGAACAAATAAATAAATATCTAATCAGGCATCCTGTTGCTAAAGGTCCCAAAGCAGAAATCTGCTGTGATATGGGAAACCCTTTTCATTTCCTACAAGGCTGGCTACAAAGGTTGGATGTTCTTGTCCCCCTACTGCTGGGAACATGACTCCAAGACCCTCGCTGCATAAAAGCAGAAGAGCTGTCATGATCCAAGCAGTGAAAAATGCAAAAGAGGCATGAATAGGGAGCAGGATAGCTCTTTAGGGAGGGGATGTGGGCTTCATGGGCTGCAACCAATACTCTTCTTGAGACCTCAAGGGGTTGCTGTCATTCATCATAGATCATACTCTAGACCAGGGATTCCCAACCTTTTTGAGATTGTGGGCACCTTTGGAATTCTGACACAGCATGGTGGGCACAGCCACAAAATGGCTACTGCAGTAGGCGGGCCCAGCCACAAAATGGCTGCCACAGCTTACCTTCAACCACACCGTGAAGATCGTTGTGCTCTGGTGACACCTGCTGCCAAAGCAATGTTCTGAAAGATCTGCATAGCCAATGGAATCTCCAATGGCCAATCAGAAGCCTTGCTGGGTCAAAGCCTGATTGGGCCCTATCCATGCTCTAAATACACTTGGTGGGCACCAAGAAAGGTTTCAGTGGGTGCCACGGTGCCCACAGGCACCACGTAGGGGACTATGAACCAAATAGGGCTAAGCTAAACCAAATATTTATTAAGGTGTTACACGTGTTAAAACTTTCCTGATTAAAAATTGCTTTGTCTAAGATCAGACTGTAAAAGCTTGTCCACTATACATACAAATGATGGGTAAAAACTTTACAACTGAAGACCAAACGCGTTTCGGCCCCTAAGGGCCTTCCTCAGTGGTCACTATTATCTATATATTCTAGACACACATTCAAAGACCTGTTACAGAATTCTAGTACACATATAATTACACCAGATGTTGTTTCCTTGTCTACTTATAATTGGACACCTGGTATTAGTGATGGGCCATAGGTATAGCCATATCACCACCACAACATATTCTGGTAACAGCGGTTTTGTAGGTCTGAATGTGCGTCCCTCCATCAAAGTGAAAATTCTATTCCCATCACAAACACAATCAACTGCAACCACAGAATAATTCAACTCACACTCAGGAGTGGAATGTATCGGACTGATTTGTTTTCCGTGTTGCGCTACCAAGTAGGAAAACTGTTTTGCCACTTGTCTCTCTCGCATCCTGTAAAAATGAAAGTGCACACGGGCGTTAAGTTCCTGGTCTCCTGAGTGTATGTATGCTCTTGGAAGGGTAGCGAAAGTAACTGACAAAGTAGTCAGTGTTACATAAAAACTGCTCTTCTAATACTTCCTCTCTACAGCAGCTTGTCTGCGGCAGAACCAGCTGGTGACGCTCTGGAATATGGGCTTGTGTGTAGTGCACAGGGTTGCCACATCCCTCCTCACAACTGGTGAGGGATGAGGGGACTTACCGAGACTCGGAGGGAGGCCCAGGAGACATCGCCAGTGACGCAGCTATGCCACTTCCAGCATGCACCGGGAGTGACATCATCACACTATGCCATTGTGGCGACACTGGTATTTGGGCAAAAACTCTATGGTAAAAATGGCTTCTATCATTGAGTTTTTGCCCAATACCAGAGCATCACTGTGATGTCACTGACATGAGGACATTACTTCTGGTGCACGCCGGAAGTGGTATCGCCATGTCACCGGCAATGTAGCCTGGGCCTCCCTTCCTCTCCTGGTAGGGGGCGGGGTCTGGTGGCAGGGGGTCTGGTGGCAGGCTGGCAACCTTACTAACTAATGCAGTTAGGCATTAAGAGCCTAACCCACCTGACCGTTACAGTCATCTTTAGAGGATCTGCTTTGGAAGTCCCTGACTTGTCAGATTAGGTGAGTGGCAACCTGGGAGGGAGCCTTGTTAGTCATGGTACCAAACCTCTGGAACTCTCCCCCCAGGGAGATCTGGATGTTACCACCTTCCGACAGCAGGTGAAGACCTTTTTGTTTTGGTTGGTGTTCCGTCACTGATTTTATGCACCTGTACATATTTTAGTTCTGCTTTTAATTGTTTAAATTATGTTTTAATTTGTTAGCCATCTTGTTGGCCCTTCTAAGGGCAAAAAGGCAGAATATATACTTTTAAAAGTAAACAAATAAGAGTCCAACCTGGAGCTTCTGACTAAGAAGCAGGGAAACTCATGAAGTACATGTTTCCCCTTTCCCATTTCTCTTCGGGCTTAATTTTTTTTTTTTAATGCTAGCTTGCCCCAAAGTTCCAAATTGATTCCTAAAAATGACTGAGAAAGCAGTACCTTTGGCGGGCCCTTTCCCGTGCTAATTTCCTCTCGGCCTCAGTCCCGTGGGCTTTATGGGGAGTGATATCAATCCTTTCCACTCTCATCTCTGCGCAGCGTTTCTTTTCATTCACAAGGAACTCCTGTAGGTCTCTGCATCGCTGGCAACAGAAAATCTGGAAAGCAAGGTCCCGCTATTACCCGGCAGTGTGCTCCCTGGCTTTGCAAACAGTCCGGAAGAATGCTTTCCCATTACTTACAGATCCGAATTCAGCTATTTTTTCTAGACTGTCAAATGAAGGAAAGGTTCTCAACAAGCTGCCACAGAACTCACAGTATGCAGGATAGTCTTCCTCCAACTGTAGAGAGGAATTGAAACAAAATTTTGAAAAATGTGAGTGATAATCATCATGCGACAGGCTTATAAAGAATACTGTTCCTTTAGTTATAGTTTAATTTTGTTGCTGTTTTAATTGCATGTACTGGGTTTTTTTTATACTGGTAAACTGATTTTATAGAACATTGTTTTACATCTGTTGCCCTAGGCTTGGAAGGAAGTGAAATATATATTGATGTGAACCCTGAATTTTCAGGTTAGGTCTTGGTTAGCCTTCCTTATTTTTTTTAATTAGATTTATTTATCTCACCCTTTCTTCTTCCAAGGAGGATTTTAGGGTGACATACCTGGTCCTCTCACCCCCTCCCGCATTTCATCCTCACAACAACACTGTAAGGTAGGTTTGGTGGAGGGCGACTGGCTCAAGGTCACCTAGTGAGCTTCGTGGTGAAGTAGGGATTCAAACCTTGCCCCCCCCCCCCGAGCCTCACACTCTAACCACTACACCATTCAGGCTCAAGGACAGGTAGCTCTTATGCCAGTACAACTTCACCCATTTTGTGGCTTCAAGAGTCTCTGCATCCACTTCTACACAAAGTCACGTGGACAATCTCTACTATTCCAGCAGGTAGAAAAAATTAACATCAAGAGCACCGCACTTTACTTAATGATTGTTTTATACAGTTTAATGATTGTTTTTATGTTGTTTTAACTGTGGTTATGGCAATTGCCTCTGTTGTAGCCGCTCTGAGCCCGTTGGGGAGGGCGGGGTACAAATCTAATGAATGAATAAATAAACAAATAAAAGAGGAGGGGCTGTGAACAGCCGCCCTGAGCCTGCTTTGGTAGGAAGGGAGGGGTATAAATCGAATAAAATAAATAATAAAATAATAAAATAATAACATTCTCCAGTGTAGCAACAAAACTGGATGAAGGTACTTCTGTGGAACACTTTTGTTCCCCAAAGGTCTTTTATAATCCCAGGAACTCTCTCCAGTATGGCTGGGGATAAAGTATGGATTGGATCCAGTGTTATTGCCTTTTCATTTAATGGTGATTTTAACACTCAGCCCAGATGTCATGACCAAAGTGGAGTTTGTGGTGCTTGGTGTTGTGTGAGCCAGCCAGATGCCACCTCCTCTGATGAGGAGGAGTCCGAAGAATTGGGCCCCACACCAACAGAATCCCCACCTGTGCAGGCGGATGTAGTAGTGGACCAAACAGGGGAATCATCGGGAAGCAAGAACGCTTCCCAGTCATGGCCAGGCTGCTTGATCTTCCAGGAGGAGAGATGCCACAGAGGCTGACCTTCCGCCCCAGCATCTCCTGAGCCAGTAGAGCACAGAAGAAGAAGAAAACATTTGGCAGCTCAGAAAAGATGGAGTGCCCGCTTGGCTGCTCAGCAACAGTAAGCATTAGTTCCTGGAGTGGAGTCCTTGCAGGCCCCAGTCTGACAGGATGATATGGAAACAGTAAAAGATCCACACCTGTAGGAAGGTGAACGTGACTGGAAGGAGCAACATCTGGCCCTCAGGGGATGAGTCAGTAAAAGGTGCAGATAAAAGGAACATGCGGAACATGGCTCGGTGTGGAAAGAATCTTGCTCGCCACCCCTCTGTGCATTGACCTGTTTAGCAAACAGAGCAATACCCTGACCCTGCTGCCTTGTACCTTGTCTCTAGTAATTTGTGCTTGTTCCTGAAGCCTGGGACCCAGACCCCTGTATCCTGCACCTGCTTCCAAGCCTTGGAACCAGACCCCTAGACCCTGGACCCTCCTACCCTGACCCTTGGACTGGACTTTTGTATATCTAACTCTGGACTGGTTTCTAGACATGCTCCTGGGTATTTCTGTACTTGTTGTCATTATACTTGTGTATGCCAGAACCCCCAAGTAAAGCAACAGCACCAGGCTTAGCCCTGAATGTGACACCCATGAAGTGAATTTGGGTAATGCCTGGGCTTGTGTATTTCTTCTTTCCTTTTGTGCAGAACACTGAGATTAAAGACACAAGTTGGACGTATTCAATCTAATGCCAAGGAGATGTGACATATGTAGGTAATTTATTAACTTAGATAGTCGGGGTGTTTATTTGTTTGTTTTTGAAAAACAAAACTGGGAAATAAACTGCCCTTGATTTATTAAGGCATCCACATTAGGATATTACAACTGATTTGTAGTGTACCATGCAAGGGAGGGAAAATGGGTGAGAGAGGGAGTGTGCAGGACTGGCTATAGATCAGACCCATGGCTGTTGTGAACAAACTCAGTTGGACTCATCTGAATTCTGCTTAACTGGGATGAGATCCATTTGTACCCATTAGAATTTCAATATACAGTCATGAGAACATAAAAAGAACCCTGCTGGATCAGACCAGTGGTCAATTTGGTCCAGCATCCCGTTTCACACAGTGGCCCACCAGTTACTATGAAGGGCAAACAACAGGGCAAAGAGGCTGTTCTTCCCCTGATGTTGCTAGAACCAAATGCTGACACATACATGTATAAAAGAGCCACTCCTTACTTATATGCAACAGGCCTAACTGTCATTAATAATAGTAACAACAACTCAGCTTCAGTTATTGTCATTTTTGTAGAAAATCTGTGCTTTTTCAGTAATATCAGTTATGCTTCTTCTCTACTCATCCACAAAAATTGTGGAGGGGAAATTGTGTAGTGTGTTTTTATCAAAAATTTGTGGTATTGTAAATTTTTATGCAATGAATGCAGGGCAGATATCCCTCACATTCCTTCAAAGAAGCAAACTCTAGTTTCAGATAGATTTACAATTATTAATATGCAACCTGCCCTGACCTGGATGGCCCAAGCTAGCCTGATCTCGTCATATCGTGGAAGCTAAGCAGGGTCGTCCCTGGCTAGTACTTGGATGGGAGACCACCAAGGAAGTCCAGAGTTGCTAGGCAGAAGCAGGCAATGGCAAAACCACCTCTGAACATCTCTTGCCTTCAAAACCCTACAGGGTCACCATAAGTTGGCTGTAACATGACGGCAACAAAAAAAGCAACCTAATTAGCAAAATACTGAGATGGAAGAGGAAAACTAAAGCAAGGCCCATGGAACAGCTGTCTTTTTCCAATCCAGTTTTTCTATCAAACCAACAAAGCTTATTTCCTGGATTCCTCCATGTCCTTATACCTTTGCCACTAGCCTGGGGGTTCCACAACTGCAGTACATGACGGCATTTAACGGGGATCAACTAAGGCCATTCAACCTTCACCCATGGCTCCTCCTTTGTCTTTGTCTGCACCCCTGCCCAAATCCAGATGGGGAAGCTGGGCTAACATGACTGACAGCTTGGAGAGTCTTGTTTCCCTTTTACTGTCTAAAGGGATTACAGACAACTGTAAATGATCCAATTTGTAATTTCATTAGGGATTTTAGAGCCATCTGGCTCCTGAAGAGCTTGGCAAGTAGCAAACCACGCAAAAGAAACTGGTTTGTTCACCTATGTTCCTGGAGTCAGCTTGTCTCTGATTAGCTCCACTCCCAACAATTTTGTTTGATGCAAAACATCCTTCTAGACTCCTTTGGTTGTTTCTCCAACCCAGTCCTTCCAGGGCTGTATAACTTCAGAAAGCAGGTACACATTTTTGAATGATTGCCTAACTTAAAAATCTCCCAGTACACAGAAAGGTACAGCATCAGGAAGATAAAACGCAGGAGAGGAGAATGATGTAAGCTGCTTTGGGTGCCCTTGAGGGAAAACACTGAGGTATAAATGAAGTAAGTAAGTAAATAAAGCTACATGACATCTCTTCCGCCTTATATGCTAAGTTTCGGTGATCAAGGAGTTTTTCTGGGGGGGGGGTTTGGAATCATTCAGTCATGTAAACAAGGAGTGTTTATTGGTGGGTGGGATTATTCAGTCATGTAATCCCGATCCTGCTTTATTTTTATTTTTTTTAATCCTGCTTTATGAAGTGGTAAAATTCTGGAAGGAGTGCACCATTTGTGATTTCAAAAAAACAAACAAGTCATCCTTCGGGGCCAAATAGCAGATTGACATTACTTATACAATTCTTTTTCCTGTTGTTCTTTTTTAATAATCTATTTCAGGGGAAAGCACTTATGGGAGGCTGGAATCTTGAGGGGCAAGAGGGAAGGGAGAAGGGCTGCTCTCAGTACCATTCTTGCCAGTCACCTGATTATTCAAGTGCAGCCCCCTGGTGCCCTCCTCCAGCTGTTTCTTCATCTGCAATGGGGAGGGGGCTACAGGGCCCAAGGCGATGGAAAGTGCCACCACGTAGGGTTTTCAAGGCAAGAGACATGCAGAGGCAGTTTGCCATTGCATGCCTCTGTGTAGCAACCCTGGGTTTCACTTTTGTTCTCTCATCTATGTCCTCATCAGCGCTGACCCTGCTTAGCTTCCAAGATCGGATAAGATCAGGCTAGCCTGAGCCACCCAGGCCAGGCCCACAGTCATCAGCAAACACCACGAGTGGTTCGTTTGTATCCCACTTTTCTTCCATCATGGAACTCAAGTGCCAATTTTCTCTCATTCTGTGTAAAGGTAAAGGTTCCCTTGCTCGAAAGCCAGTCGAGTCCGACTCTAGGGTTGCGGTGCTCATCTCCGTTTCAAAGCCAAAGAGCCAGCGCTGTCCGAAGACATTTCCATGGCCATGTGGCCGGCATGGCTAAACACCAAGGCGCACGGAACGCTATTACCTTCCCACCGAAGTGGTACCTATTTATCTACTTGCAATTTCTTGCTTTCGAACTGCTAGGTTCGAAAGCAAGGGGGTTGGGGGCTATCCAGTGTTTTGCACGGAGTGTCACATGTATGACTATCTGCCCACTGGGCAGAAGTCTTGGGTGTGTCCTCGGTGCAAGGAGCTCCTGGTTCTCAGGGAACGTGTGTGCTCCCTTGAGGCCAAGGTGGCTGACCTGGAGAAGCAGAGACAGTCAGCTAGGCGCACAGAAAAGACTCTCGGGGACTTGTTAGCTACGTCCCACTCTGGATCTGGCAGCCCCGCTGCTGTCAGGGAGCATGAGGGTCTAGGGGAAACAGGGCACCATGCTGAGGATAAGGGGAATGTGCCCTCAGAAGGGACCTCTTCCCCAGCTGGTGAGCGGCTCTCCTTTTGCACCAAGGAACCATCCCTGAGCAGGGTGGGAGGGGGGCTCTTGGTAGTGGGTGATTCGATCCTTAGGCAGGTAGACAGCTGGGTGGCGAACCCGCGTACTGACCGTATGGTGACTTGCCTGCCTGGTGCGAAGGTAGCGGACATTACGCGTGTTTTAGATAGGCTGGTAGATAGTGCTGGGGAGGAGCCAGTGGTCGTGGTGCATGTCGGCACCAACGATGTGGGGAAATGCAGTCGTGAGGTCCTGGAGGAGAAATTTAGGCTCCTGGGCAGGAAACTTAGGTCCAGGACCTCCAAGGTAGCCTTCTCAGAAGTGTTACCTGTTCCACGCGCAGGGCCGGAGAGACAGGCAGAGATCAGGAGTCTCAATGCGTGGATGAGACGATGGTGTAGGGGGGAAGGGTTCAGGTTTGTTAGGCACTGGGATACTTTTTGGAACAAGAGGGAGCTGTACAGGCGAGACGGTCTCCACTTGTCCCGAGAAGGAACCAGGCTGCTGGCACTTAAAATCAAAAAGGTGGCAGAGCAGCTTTTAAACTGAATATTGGGGGAAAGCCGACAGGAGATGAAAAGTCTCTGGTTCGGGTTGGCTCATCTGAGAGAGGTGAGGGGGTACCGGTTGCTTTTCTACAGGGAGGTGGATTGAAATTGTCCACAGAGGCCATGGCTGGTGACATGGACTGCCGGACAACGACTCGAGATAGCAAGAGGAAGGATGCAGGCTTAACTTGTAAGGGAAATTACAGCTGTTTCTATACAAATGCTAGAAGTGTCCGAGGTAAAATCGGGGAGTTGGAGTGCTTGGTGTCGGAGGGAAAAATAGACATTGTGGGTATTTCTGAAACTTGGTGGGATGAGGAAAATCAGTGGGACACAGTGATTCCCGGTTATATATTATATCGGAAGGATAGGGGGGGAAGGGTTGGAGGTGGGGTAGCTCTGTATGTCAGAGAGGGTATAAAGTCTAGAAAGATTGAGAGGCTAAGTGAATTGGATTCGCTTCTGGAAGTTCTATGGGTTGAAATAGGGGGGCCAAAAGGAAACTTAACACTGGGAGTTTGTTATCGCCCACCAGATCAAAAGATAGAGGAGGATTATAAAATGATGAATGCCTTAAAGATAGCAACTAGACAAAAACACTGTGTAATAATAGGTGATTTTAACTACCCACACATTGATTGGGTCAATATGTGTTCTAGCCGGGAAAAAGAGATTGAGTTTCTAGACACTCTAAATGACTGTGCTATGGAGCAGATGGTCACGGAACCTACCAGGGGAGAGGCGATCCTTGATTTGGTCCTAAGTAACACTCAAGACCTGGTGAGAGATGTAAAAGTGATTGCACCGCTTGGAAACAGTGATCATAATGTTGTTGAGTTCATCATTTGTACAAATAGAGAATTGGCCAAAAAGACTCACACAACCATTTTTAACTTTAAAAGGGGTAATTTCTCTGATATGAGGGGACACGTGGGGAGGAAACTGAAAGGAAAAGTAGAAAGGGTCAAAACAATTGGGGAAGCTTGGGATCTATTTAAAACTACGATCCTAGAAGCTCAAAAAATATATATTCCGCAGGTTAGGAAAGGCACAAACAGGTATAGGAAAAAGCCTGCATGGTTAACAAACAGAGTAATGGAGGCTGTAAAAAGTAAAAAGAATTCCTTTAAGCAGTGGAAAGCTAGTCACAGTGAGGCTGATAAAACGGAACACAGGCTATGGCAAATAAAATGCAAGTCTGAGGTCAGGCAGGCAAAAAGGGAATATGAGGAGCATATAGCAAAAAACGTAAAAACCAACAATAAAACTTTCTTCAAATACATTAGAAACAGGAAACCAGCCAGGGAGGCAGTGGGGCCCTTGGACGACCAAGGGGTAAAAGGAGTATTGAAGGATGATAGGGAAATGGCTGAGAAGCTAAATGCATTTTTTGCCTCCGTCTTCACTGTGGAAGATGAGAAGTGCTTGCCCACTCCAGAACCACTGATTTCAGGAGGGGTGTTGAAAGACCTGAGTCAGATTGAGGTGACGAGAGAGGAGGTCCTAAAACTGATAGACAACTTAAAAACTGAAAAATCACCAGGCCCAGATGGCATACATCCGAGAGTTCTGAAAGAACTCAAATGTGAACTTGTAGATCTCCTGACAAAGATATGTAATCTTTCCTTAAAATCTGCCTCCATTCCTGAGGATTGGAAGGTAGCTAATGTCACTCCCATCTTTAAAAAGGGTTCCAGAGGAGATCCGGGAAATTACAGGCCAGTCAGTCTGACGTCGATACCGGGTAAATTGGTGGAAACCATTATTAAGGAAAGAATTAGTAGGCACATAGATGAACAAAACCTATTGAGGCAGACTCAGCACGGTTTCTGTAAGGGAAGATCTTGTCTCACTAACCTGTTAGTGTTCTTTGAGGGGGTGAACAAACATGTGGACAAGGGGGATCCAATAGATATTATTTACCTTGACTTCCAGAAAGCTTTTGATAAAGTTCCTCATCAAAGGCTCCTAAGTAAGCTCAAAAATCATGGGATAGAAGGACAAGTCCTTTTATGGATCAAAAACTGGCTAGTTCATAGAAAACAGAGAGTGAGTGTAGGTGGGCAATTTTCTCAGTGGAGGGTGGTAAGCAGTGGGGTACCGCAGGGATCAGTACTTGGTCCACTGCTTTTTAACTTGTTCATTAATGATTTGGAGATGGGAGTAAGCAGTGAAGTGGCTAAATTTGCGGATGATACAAAGTTGTTCAGGGTGGTGAAAACCAGTGAGGATTGTGAGGCACTCCAAGGGGATCTGTCAAGGATGGGCGAGTGGGCGTCAACATGGCAAATGGGGTTCAATGTGGCCAAGTGCAAGGTGATGCACATTGGAGCCAAAAATCCTAAATATAAATACACATTGATGGGGTCTGAACTGGCAGAGACTGAGCAAGAGAGAGATCTTGGAGTTGTAGTGGATAACTCACTGAAAATGTCGAGACAGTGTGTGACTGCAATAAAGAAGGCCAATGCTATGCTGGGGATTATTAGGAAGGGTATTGAAAACAGATCAGCCAATATAATAATGCCCCTATATAAATCAATGGTGAGACCTCATTTGGAATACTGTGTGCAGTTCTGGGCACCACACCTTAAAAAGGATATTATAGCTTTGGAAAAAGTGCAGAAAAGGGCAACTCGAATGATAAAAGGGTTGGAACACTTTCCCTATGAGGAAAGGTTAAAGCGCTTAGGGCTCTTTAGCTTGGAGAAAAGACGACTGAGGGGTGACATGATCGAGGTTTATAAGATTATGCATGGGAAAGAGCAGGTAGAGAAAGAGGTACTTTTCTCCCTTTCTCACAATACAAGAACTCGTGGGCACTCCATGAAACTGCAGAGCGGTCGGGTTAGAACGGATAAAAGGAAGTATTTCTTCACCCAAAGAGTGATTAACACATGGAATTCACTGCCACAGGAAGTGGTGGGTGCTACAAGCATGGACGGCTTCAAAAGGGAATTAGATAAGCATATGGAGCAGAGGTCCATCAGTGGCTATTAGCCACAAGGTATAGCTAGGGGCTCTGGGGCAAGTGATGCTCTGTCTTCTTGGTGCTTGGGGGGGGGTCAACAGTGGGAGGGCTTCTAATGTCCTGGCCCCACTGCTGGACCTCCTGATGGCACTGGTATTTCTGGCCACTGTGTGACACAGAGTGTTGGACTGGATGGGCCTTTGGCCTGATCCAACATTGGCGTCTCTTATGTTCTTATGTTCTTATGTTCTTAGGTTGGCAGGAGCTGGAACTAGAGACGGGAGTCATGCGGCAACCCGGGTCTCGAACTGCTGAACTACTGACCTTCCACAGCCTGCAGTTCAGCATCTTAACCACTTGAGCCACCGCAGCTCTGTGTAGGGGGATCAAAATGTAGGGGAGTGTGCAAGACCTCAGAATGCAGGAGCCTACTGCATGCTCTGGTTTTTACGACAAACAGGCAACAAGCCTCTGAAATGATCGGCAAGTCATCTTCTATCGCACCTCAACATCATAACTCAATCTTGCAGTGAATGGATGAGCAACTACCCCTTCAGTGCATGCAGTGTGCGCACATCAATGCATACTTGTAATCACAATCCAGCTGGGGTGTGAGGCAATCACACCTACCCCATTAAATACACCCAGCTAACCACAAATACAGAAAAAAACATTGGCATACATAATTGATGGTTAAAAGACAGCCATGATCTGTGATATAAAATGCATAACTGTATTCACACACCTCCCTTGCTATTATGGAACCATAATTACTGAGTGGGAAGAGCCCTCACCGCTATCTGAATGTCTCCTCGTGATGTTTCCTGTCTATATGCTAGGATCGTTGGAGGCCCAACACTGGAGAGGGTTTGCAGCGATTCCTGAAACAGCTTTACGAATTCCTCTTTAAACTTTAAAAAAAAGCAGAAAAACAATATGCAATAAGAGACCACTCAATTTGAATCCTCAGACCACTTTGCCCAGAATATTCCCACAGGCTTACTCCTGAAATACCTTCAGCCTGGATTGGGTACAAGCAGTAGTTGCGCCGGTATAGCAGTGATAATACATTTTAAATTAGAGACCGAGGGATTCATACCTCCGTGTCGCATAAAACGTCTAAACTGCTGAGATCTTGGGACAAGACAGCGTAGATATCTAAACATCAGCAATAAGAATTAGTTAGGAAATCAGCATGTTCTTGCTTTTTAGAACTGATTCGTCTTCATATATGTCCAAGTGACTCTCTTATTTAGGCCAGTGGGTATGCTGAAACAGCATAAGCAGACTTCCCCTCCTCCCTCATAGATAAAGCAAAGCGGGATGTTACAGCTTGCACTGATTCCCTCATCAGTGTGCACAACAGTTAACTGTGAGGCTCTGAGTCTTGTGGAGGAAAGGTACTCGCCCTTTCCAGAGATATTCCTCATCTGCATAAACTGAGAACATATCATTTGTCTGTGTGAATATGCGCTTAGAAGACTTCTACTTCTGTTCCACACTTCTGTGAATGTCCAGTGTCAGGGACAGGATTTAAGAAGAGTTTTCAAGAGGTTCTGTCAGCAAGACTGCTAATCCACAACATGTCAGGGCCAGCTCCCATGGCAATGTGGATGCTCAAAAGTTGTTAGGATGACCTTTCCCTTGCTGACTTCCAGACACAGCGGGCCACTGAGAGTGGAGCATTTGCTTCAGATGGCATATTATGGACTTGCCTTTTGGCATGCCACCACAAACATCATTTTTCCCCTATATTTATAATTAAATGCCAAACATCAAATTCTCTTTTGTTTTCAGGTTACATGAATGTTCATATATAGCAGGAGTATAGTGGGGGAGCGTTCAGTCACAGAGCAATCCTAAGCAGAGTTCCTTCTAAATCCATTGAAGTCAATGACATGTATCCTGTCCTAGGCCGGAGGAAATTCCTCTAACCTGAGGCTTCTTCTTCCAACAAGTGACTCTTCCATTGGGAGAGGACCCAAACAAGTTGAAGGAAGGCTCCCTCCAAACTTTGCGCAGTGGAGTGCCAGGATTCATGCCAATGGGCTTAGAAGGAAGTAATTTTGCTTAGCATTGCACTGTAAAGCATGCACACGACACAAATAAGGTGCATATATACAAACAGAAGCCACAAAACGATGGGGGACATGGTTAAACCAAAGAGAGGCCTTGTGGTACTTCAGAGACCAGCACAATTATTGCAGCATAAACTTTTGTAGATTAGAGCCCACTTTTATAATATGCTTATGTCTGATGGAACAGGCTGAAGTCCGTGAAAACTTATGCCATAAGCTTCACATGGTATTCTTGCTTCTACGTTCCACAGCTGATCATTACAATGGCTGTGCATTCTAGACAAAGAATCACATTATTTGTGACAGAAGATACTGCACTCAAAATGTCATATCCTTGAAACACGACATCTGGAGCCTGCCGAACAGCAGAACATTTACAAGTGGGGGGGAAATGAGCTTGCTGTTTGAGATGTCAGGTGAAGATGTTAACTTGTTAGCAAAGTCTGTAGCCTGCCATTGCAAATAGCAAGGGCAAGCAGATCTACTTATGAGTAAGTGTCTTAGACTCCTGTGGCAAGCTGGTGTCTGTCGCAAGTGTTCCTGTGTGCTGATGTTTGCATTTGCAAATGCACAAACAGCAGAACAAGAATAAATTGGAAGGAAGGAAGGAAAGGAAAGGCAAGGCAAGGCAAGGCAAGGCAAGGCAAGGCCTGAGGCTGGAATCAATTTGAGAGCTGAAATTATGAGGGACATCGCTTCCCCTTGTGCACAGATCCCTTTGTTTTGGCCCACTGGTGCATCTGGCCAAATCAGTCTGGCAGGTTTTGGAAACAATACAAAACCCTGCAACACCTGTTGAACAGAGGCAAATGCCTCTGTTAACATGCTGCAATTTGTGGTCCATCTTTCAAGCTGCCTTCTGTTGGTGGAAGGTGTCGTCAGGTCGCAGCCAGCTTATTGCAACCCCTCTGTGTAGCAGCCCTGAGACTTTCTTGGTGGTCTCCCATCCTACCAGTAATCGGGGCTGATCCTGCTTAGCTCCTGAGATCAAGCTAGCCTGGGCCATCCAGGTCAGAGCAAGCTGACGTCGCAAAAATAAACACCCACAAAATTGTCTCCACCCTTAACTGGACAACATATTTACAAGCCTTATTTCACAGGTCACCAAAACATCCATTTAAAGTGGTTAATTAATATTCCCATTTATGCACCAAGGGCTGAGGCTGAGAAATAGCCATGACGTATGTGTTTAAGAGAGCTGACTGGCAAAGGGCATGGAGTGGAAGGGCTCTATGGCTGAGCAGAAGTTACATCTCCTACCTTCACACCCCACCAGCTCTCCTGTTGAGATCTAAAAGCAGCGTTTATAAACAGGAAAGAAGAAAACAATAACTGGGGGGTGGAACCAATTTACCATTCTCAAGAAGGGCGCTTTTATCCTTCAGCTTCCTCTTGGCTAGAAAGAAAGCAGAACAAACATGACACAGGGTCTAACAAGAAATGTCCACTTTCCCCTCTCTTCAGTGAGAAGAAGTGTCAGTGGAGTAGGGCTGCCAAGTGGGTACGGGGGGTGGGTAAACCCCCGCTTTGGAGGCCCAATTTCTGATGCCGCGGAATCGGGCCCCGGGGGGAACTCCGCCCCCAACGTGGTCAACGTTGCACATCACTTCCAGTGACGCGCTGCCGGCGCGCGCCCACTACACACACGCGCATCCAAGGACGGCTCCCAGAGCCCAGCGAGGCTCCCCCGCCGGTGAGTTTTTTTGACTTGGCAACCCTACAGTGGAGACTAGTTTGAAAACAGAGGGGCAGACTCTAATCTGTCTGTTCAATGTGACCCCATGACCAAAGCAAGCATATTTAGGAGTGAACCACCACCAGCCCAGCTTCAGTGTGAGCGCTGTTGGCAATCCATAGCTGGAATGCTTCCATGATTGAAACACTGGAGCTCTGTCCCACTGGCCAGGTCTGAGCATGTGTATGAAGCCATTGCAATATCTGCAGATGTGGATAACCTCCTCTAGAAGAAGCAGAATTCTGAGTAATAAGGCAAGGCAGCGGTGGTGGTGATGGTGGTGGTGTGGAGACCCAAGTATAACAACCCCTATTTTGATATTTTAAGTGTACCACCTCATAAAGGCAGCCCCTGCACACTGCCATACAGATGCAATATATACAACTCTTCCTGTACAACATCAAGCACTCCCATTAAGTGCCTAAAATAAACCAGTTCCATATAAAAAAGTGGTTCAAGCCTGTATTTAGAAGGCCGAAGGACGCTGCTCCTGGCTGTCAGTCTTTAGCTTCTAAATTTTACCATTGGGTTGCATTGGGAGAGGCTCTGAAAAATACCATTTCCCACACTAACTTCCCTAAAATAAGAAACCACAGAACAAAAACAAAACCCTCCTCCAGATCTCGGCCTACACAGGTGCAAATGATGTTGTAAACAGTTAATTCCATTAAGGCTGTAATCCTAGGTACCCTCAGCCACGGGTTGGTCTGAAAGGGCTGGTTTGTCTGAGCAAAAGGTATTTGTGGTTAAATAAGTGGGGGTGTCTGTAATTTCCACCAGTTCCCTCCCCCAGCTGCAACCACCCCCATATCCTACACTATTCCTGAGTGCTCCCTGAGCCTCAGAAATGGCTTTTAGGGGAACAAGGGGGCTGCAGTGGAAGGGGGGGCAGGAAAGACCTTTCTCTTAGACAGAACTCTGCTTAAGGGCTCAAACTGACGATTTGCTTAGGTACATAAAATGCAAACTGCAGGCTCCTTTGCAGCCTTAATTTGCATTAGGGCTGTGCAGGAAAGAGAACCCATCTTTAACCCTTCCACCTCCACCCTGTCTTGCTATGGGAAATCAGGCTCCCTGCTTTGCTAGGGGAGGGGGGGATGCATGTTTTAAGATATCTTGTTGATTAAAACAGTCTCTCCCTTCCCCGCACAGCCCCCAGACAAACTGCTTTTTAAGGCTTGAAAGAGTGCGTCTCATCTGTATGGTTCGTTGGATCTAACCCACTGGATTCAGTGGGACTTAAAGTAAGCATGCCAAGTGTTGAGCTGTACAATAAATGAAGGATACTACTCTTTTTTTTTGCTCTGTATATTGTAAGGTAAGGTAAAGGTTCCCTTGCTCGAAAGCCAGTCGAATCCAACTCTAGGGTTGCGGTGCTCATCTCTGTTTCAAAGCTGAAGAGCCAGCGCTGTTTGAAGACATTTCCGTGGTCATGTGGCCAGCATGACTAAACACCAAGGCGCACGGAACGCTGTTACCTTCCCACTGAAGTGGTACCTATTTATCTACTTGCAATTTCTTGCTTTCGAACTGCTAGGTTGGCAGGAGCTGGAACTAGAGACAGGAGCTCACTCCATCATGCGGCACACTCGGGTCTCGAACTGCTGAACTACTACCGACCTTCCACAGCCTGCAGTTCAGCGTCTTAACCACTTGAGCCACCGCATATTGTAAACATCGCAATAAATACATTACTCACGCTTTTTCTTGGACGAGTGATCATAAAGCCAACTAGCATCTGTCTGCATGGAGACAGATATGCTAAAGGGCTTCTGGAGCGTATCAGCAGCCATTCCATACAATGCCTCCCTTTCAGTAGACAGAACATATGTAAGGAAACTGAACCATTAGTGTATTTCTCAAAGCAAACAGCACAGTTTGATGTTAAATTTCCAAAAAGTAGCAAATAAACTACTGAAAGAAGAAACATACAGCAGTTCCATCCTAAGTGGATCTACTCAGAATACTACTCAGGTCTGTGAATATTCAGTGTGTTTGTAGGACTGCATAGTCAGTAGGCACATAGTAAGATAGTAATAGTGGTTAGATATAGGCTGAGAATTCCATTCCTAACAATAGCAAGATATATCCTCCGGTATATATAATTCTATTTTGGTCATGGACTCCCCTGAACATTCCAACATGCTCCAAAATCAGTTCGCTCTCTGATCTGTCATTCAGAGGGTCTCCCTATCCACTGGCTGCTTGGCCTGAGTCCTGCCTCCAACATTCTAAAGAGTTTGCTCTTCCTCCCCCTCCCCGCAGCCAGTCAGAACTCAGAGGTCATTTGCATATGCGGCCTCACTGGCCTTTCCCTCTAACATTCTAAACAGTTTGCTGTTGATGTTCTGAGGTAAAATAAATTTCTCCTTAGTGTCTGTTGGGGAAAACCATGGTTGCAAATCTCCAGGTGAGGGCTAAAGATCACTCAGAATTACAACTGCTTTCCAGATGGCAGAGATCAGTTCTCCTGGAGAAAATGGTGGACTCTGTGTCCTTATATCCTGCCGAGATGGCCCCTGTATGACAGCCAATGTGATGTAGCAGTCAGGGCTTCAGAGTACGGGAGAGGCTGCAGGTGTGTGGGGGGGTGGAAAGCTGAAGAGTGAGGGGGAAATAAAGGTAGGTTGATGATTGGCTGGGAAGGAGATAGGGTTGCCAACTCCAGGGGGGAAATTCCTGGGGAGATGAGGGATGGAGCCTGGAGAGGGTGAGGTTTCAGGAGGCGTGGGACCTCGGACAGGTACAAAGCCATAGACTCCACCCTCCAAACCAACCATTCCCTTCTGGGGAACCATCATTGCCAATCTCCAGGTGAGGGCTGGAGATCACTCAAAATTACAACTGTTGTTTAGGTAGCAGAGATCAGTTCCTCTGGAGAAAATGGTGGACTCAGTGTCATCATACCCTGCTGAGATCACCACAGCAAATTGACACTGTCCAAGGCCGGGGCACCCGCCCAGAGCCTCTTTCTAGAGGCTGTTGTATTTATTTCCACAACGGACCTTTTTCCTAGTCTATAATAACCCTTCTCTTTGAAATGGCAACAAGTTCTCTCATTTGCTATCTGAACTTACCCGGGGGTAAAAAAGCACTCATCGGTACAGTTTGGAAGAAGCCTTCATAAACATTGTGGGGAAATACACTCCAAACACAATTGCAAAAAAAGCCTAATTTCACTAGTGAGTACAACATTGCAGAGAGGATACAGAAGACAGATTGGCTGTCTGTCCATCAAACCCCTCTGTCACGCCCTCTCGGTTTTGCAGCTGACTTCTTAAAAAAATACGCAAGTGATTTCTTCTTGAGGAAAGAAATTTCTCAATCACGACAACACTGGAGATTTGGATTTTGGCACTCAACAGTGACATTAGCAATCTCTCTTTAGTAAGGAGTGGGAAATGTCAGACGCTCACCTGCTTGACTTGTATAGAGAGGAACTTTCTCTCCTGACTCCTCCCAGGATTGTAGGATGGCCCTTTGTTCCTGCTGAGAACAAACCAAATTAGCTACATATGCAGTTAACTAATCACTGTTGTGTCTGCTGGCTGTAGAAAAAATGAGAAGCATTCTCCCTTTATGAAAGGAACAGCACATACCAGGACTTGGGTACACGGGACTGCTCAGTCAATCCCCCCATTCCTTTTTAGTGAGTTGGGAATAGATTTGGGGGAGCTAATACAAAGAAGAGAGGAAAACTACACAGTGTACACAGTTTTCTGATTTTCTTCCTTCTATTTTTTTTTTTAAATAAACTGTAGACCATAGGAGAGGCAATTTAAAGGGAAGCCCACCATGGGAAGACCTTTCCCAAGTAACTTTTATTTGAGGAAAGCATACATATTCCTGTAAATATGGAGGGGGGCTGTATGGGGTGGTGACCTTTGGATGGAAACAGGAAAGCATTAAATATTCCTGTGCGATGGCCTGCCCATTTAGATTACAGCCTTTTTACCTGCAATTTTTTTTTTACCCTTATGTCAGGGGAAAATAATCACAGGATGTCTAATTCTGCCCAGACATACTCTGGCAAGGAGGGAGCAGGCGTCCTTGCATGAACTGAACACATCTTCCTTCCCTCTTCACCTTTCTCCCTTTCCACTGTCCTCCTTAAGCAGCCCCCTGAACACTTTCCTAAGTGATGCTCTGGGCTAGCACAGTGTGTGATTTTCACTTTGGGCCCTTCTCTGCAGGAAACTGGGGAGTCCATTCCCCCAACATGGGACAATGCCCATCACAATTCTCACAACAGCATCTTGATGCCAGGTCTTCACCAGATGACCAAGGCTCTTGGGGTTCCTTGCTTTCTTTTGTAAGCAATTGCACTGATTTTTTTTAAATCTCACAGTACATGATAACATTTGCACTTGGACTGCCTGGTTACCTGTGCTTGGCAATGGTGACTTGGTGCCTTCAGAAGGTAGCTCCTCTTCAGAGGGTGGCTCTGTCACTTTTTCTGAGGGAGCAATTGCTGAACCTGGCTCTGAAACGCCATCAGCCTTCTCCATTTGACTCTGCTCATGAGACGACCTAAGCAAACAAAGGACAATCTAGTAATTCTTAAGGGCAACTGCAGGGAATTCCAAGGCATGGTGAATCCCTATAAAGGCAGACTGTGCTACGTTGTCAAGCCCCATAAAACACAGATTGTATGCTTGGATATGGACCCGAATCAAACAATTGTCCACCCTGACTTCAAGACAAAGCTTTCTGCCCTAGAATAAACAGTGCATCAGTAATGGCCATTTATCAGTTCTTGAGGTCCAAACTCGACATTACATCTGCCACGTAATCACTGTGGAGACTTGCACCAGGGTGACAGGCGTGAGTTTCCTGTGGGAACTCAATTCCTGACTGCTGCAGGAGCCTGATTCAGACTGGGACCATAGCATGGGGGTAGGAAGGGCTCCTGTCGCCTGGGAGAGCATTATTTGCCCTGTGGCCAAGCTATACTTTTGCTGGAGACATACTAGTGAAGCCTCTCTGGGCAGTTTCAGGTTGGGAAAATGGCACAGGGAGGAAGGTGCCCCTCCTCCCCAATGCAGCGGTCCCATTCTGAATCGGGCCCTGCAGTGCTTCTGAACTCAGTTCCCATGGGGAACTTGATGCTGTTGTTTTGCTGCAAGTCCCCATGGTGGCCACATAGTAGATGTAACATGTAGTTTGTGTGTGTGTGTGTGTGTAAAGTGCAGTCATATTGCAGATGACTTATGGTGACCCCATAGGGTTTTCCTAATGCAAGAGTCTAACAGAGGTGGTTTGTCATTGCCTGCCTCTGCATGATGACCCTGGACTTCCTTGGAGGTCTCCCACACAAGTACTAACCAGGGCTAACCCTGCTTAGCTTCTGAGATGAGATCAGGCTAGCCTGAGCCACCCAGGTCAGGGCTCTATATCGCTTGGCCCTGAGAAATTCACATTTTGACCACAGTACAGTCGTGTTGGAAGCAAACAGAATTTCAGGGCATATGCAGCAGACACCCTGCTATAATCCTATTGCAATTCCTCCCATGAAAGAGCAGGGACAGAGCAAGCGGCCACCAGTTTAAAACAAGGCAACACATCTCGTTAGAGAAATGTCTGAGGAGTGTAGGAACCCTATTCTCAGAAGTGATGACCACACTGTTTTCTAGAGTGAAGCAAGCATCCCCAAAACACCCACCGCTGTAGCTGTGGAGGATTCTGCACTCTTGAGAGGGCACTCTCAAGAGTACAGAAGTTGCGATCAGCAGTTCTCTGTGGGTATCTTGGGGATACTTGCCGCACAGATCTTCCAGATCCCAAGGCACAGTCTGAATGCAACACAGCAAGATTAGAAAAATGGTCAAAATTAATGCCTACAGCAAGCCCTAGCAAATTTTGTTGTAACGTCCCCTGAGTTTAATAAGACAGATTCTTCATTACCTCTCTGAAGATACAGAAGTTCTACTTTTCGCCGTTCCTGGATGATCTTTAGAATCTGTGCAAACAAGCACCATTAACAGTGAATCATGACGGCACTTAGAAGAGTAGGCAGATTCAGAGCATCCTTACTGAACTTTTCATATTACAAACAACATGAAAATCCATTCGATGTGATAAAGACCTGTTTTTCTTACGCTAAAAATGATATAGTGGAGAGTCACACATCCATTCATAAATGAGAATGAAGGGCAATTATTTCCTAGCTTTTGGGAAAAAAACCCAATCCAACAACCCACCTATCCCTTTCTGCCTAATCATGGCTTCTGTCCAGGTGTGTACCTACTATGGAGGTAGGCAGTCCCACCCCCAATTCTAGATGTGGCCCAAGCTAGGAGTACAGTTCTTAGAACGCAATATATGTGAACCGCCCAGAGACCCCCCCCCCCGGGGGTTAGGGCGGTATATCAAGTCTAAAGTTAAATATAAATAAATAAATAAAGTAACACTAGATACTAACCAGGGCAGCATTTATCGAGAGCAGAATTTTTTTGCTACAGTACTTTTTTTGCTTAATGTGCATTGCTCTTCCATATAAAGTGGAAATATAACCCATTCAGCAGGCTTTTGCAAAGCCAGGGCATGTGGAAAACACATACTAATGGGCAAAACTGGCTGCACCAAAAAATGCCTTTTACCAAGAATATAGAGTGAGAAAGGGGTTCACAGTGTATTGGATAAGGACTGAAACCAGCTCCGACTTCCTTGAGAAAATTTAGATAGCTTGCAAAACAAAACAACAAAAAAATGATTTTGAACTTTTTGCTATTCTGCCAGCTAATTAAGATTTGCAGGTGCTGAACTGGAATCGCTATGGACTGTATGTCCTGTGCACTTGCTCCCATACT